GGACAGACCCAAGCTCAGGCTACTTCTTAGTAAGTGCTTACTCTGCCCTTTATGTCTCTTAAAAAAGACTCATTTGTTTAAAATCTAAGTCTCCATTTCTTGGTACATCATAGTACTGGAGTGTACAAAGCCAGTTTGTTTTTTTTTTAATAGAGTGCAGTTCAAGTCAGTTTAGCTGGTTTTCAGTGTCAGTATAGAATGGTAGTCAACATTTTTTTCCTAGGAATTGTTCAAGTGTTCAGTACTTAAATTCTTACGGGTTTGAATGGGACTTACTGTGGTGGGGTCTGAGCAGGTGATTAAACTTCTTAAGTGTTGTTTACACAAAGTGCATGAAGAGACAAACACTGCACGATTTTTCAAGATTCTGGCGGTAACAGGATTCAGAATATGTTTGAGTAGAAGAGGGGAGTAGATAAATATAAAGAATATATTTTTAACTTCCACAGTAAGAACATTTAAAAAGCAAATATAATTGGCCACCACATGTGGGTTTTGCATCCTTTCCAAACCATCCTGCACATGACTCTCATATTAATTTTCTGAAAATGTGACTCTGGCCACCTGTTCTCGCTCCTGGAGAGGAGAAGGCCAGGGCCTTCTGTCTGCACCTGGCAAGGCATGGTCTATGCCACGTCCCCATGGGCCACATTGACCCCTGGCCTCACCTCCCACCACTTCCCTCCCCTGGGACTGTGGGTCCCTGCTGCCACCTGAGATTTCCTTGCAGTCGCACTCCTGAGTTCTTTCCTGGAAACGCTCTCTGCCTCACTGACTGTGAACAGACCCTGCCATGTTTTGAGGCCCAGTGTGCGTGCTCCTCTCTCTCGAAGGCTTTCCCCACGCTGCCCTTCCATGCAAAGTGTGTTCTTCCCCGTCTGCCTCCTGGCACTTGCTTATCCTTATGACCCTTATGGATGCCATTGACTCCCTTTACTCTGCTCCCTCCTGTACTGACTAGCGTGGCCCTTTATATGTAGGCAGCTGGTGTGGGGCACATGCTTTTCAGATTGATTTAACCTTGTAACATCATGGAGAGAAACTGAGATACAGACAAGAAAACTGAGGGTGACTTTGAAGGAATTGTTGTAAAAACCCAGGTGGAGGAATTCCTGTGATCCTCCAGTCCCTCTGGGAGCTTCATGACAGCGTTTGTGATCTGTGTATTCTATTCAGAAGGGCCGTCCTGTTGAAGGTAAACATCAGGGAATTTCTGCCAGAAAGGATATAATTTCAGTATGATGCTGCTCTGAAACCACTTGTGCCTGTCAGAAGTAAAATCAAAGCCGTTTCTGCCATTTTCATTCATATCGTTAACACCATAAGTTTCTTCCTTAACTCTTTTTGGCTGTGATTAATTTAAGATGGGAATTTATGTCCTCACCCACCCTCTTTTTAGTACAGGTTGAGCGTCTCAAATCTGAAAATCTGAAATCCGAAATGCTCCAGAGCAGAAGCTTTTTGAGCACAAACTTGATGCTCAAAGGAAATGCCCACTGGGGCATTTTGGATTTGGATTTGAGATGCTTGACCAGTAAGTATAATGCAAATATTCCAAAATCTGAAAAAAAAAAAAAAAAAAATCTGAAGCACTGTTGGTCCCAGGCATTTTGGAGACGGGGATGCTCAACCCATATGACCTTCCAGAGGAGTGACATCTATCAGCCAAGCAAGAGTCATCCTGCAGTGCCTTCCTTTATTACGGCAGACACTGGACTTCCTTTCTTGAAGCCTAGATTCTTATTACCCTGTGTGCCCCCTCCCTTTTTTTTAAGATGGAGTCTCGATTGTCGCCCAGGTTGACTCCATTTTGGCTCACTGCAGCCTCTGCCTCCCGGGTTCTAGTGATTTTCCCACCTTACCCTCCCAAGTAGCTGGGATTACAGGTGTGTGCCAGCATGTCCAGCTAATTTTTGTGTTATTGGTAGAGATGGGTTTCTTTCTTTTTTTTTTTTTAAGATGGGATTTCACCATGTTGGTCAGGCTGGTCTTGAACTCCCGACCTCAGATGATCCGCCCGCGTTGGCCTCCAAAGTGCTTGGATTACAGGCGTGAGCCACCACGCTCGGCCAAGATGGGGTTTCCACACGTTGGTCAGACTGGTCCCAAACGCCTGGCGTCAAGTTATCTGCCCGTCTTGGCCTCCCAAAGTGCTGGGATTACAGGTGTGAGCCACTGCGCCCGGCCTTATTACCCTATGTCCTATAGTTTCCTGTTCACATGCACTGTGAGCTATTGGATTTTTTTTTTAATTTGGGACAAGGTCTCACTCTGTTGCCCAGCCTGGAGTGCAGTGGTACAATCACAGGTCACTGCAGCCTGTACCTCCCAGGCTCAGGTGATCCTCCCATGTCAGCCCCCAGAGAGTAGCTGGAATTACAGCCTTGTACCACCACACCTGGCTAATTTCTATATTTTTTGTAGAGATTGGGTTTTGTCATGTTGCCTAGGCTGGTCTCAAACTCTTGGGCTCAAGTGATCTGCACGCCTGGGCCTCTGGATTGCTTAGGTTTTAACGTGAATTCTGCAGTGTCTTTAGTTTGGTAATCTTTGTAGATTGTTACAGAGTAAATTAAATTATTCACAAAGAATAATGTTGAATAACTTAATTATTCACAAGGAATCATATTGAAAGATCCCCTGTGTTCTTTACTCCACTTCCCCCAGTAATAACATCTTGCAAAGCTGCATGCACCATCACGATCAGAATGTTGCCGTGCGTGCGGTCAAGATGCAGCGTGTTTCCCAGGCTCTCTCCTGTGGCCCTCTTGCAGCCACACCTGCTTCCCCCCATCCCCATCCCTTCCTCAGCCCCTGGCCACCACTCACCTGTTTATGGTTTCTATACTTTTGTCTTTTCAAGAATGTTACGCAAATGGAATCATACAGTATGTAAGGGCTGAGGCTTTTTTTTTTTAGCTTAGCATAATTCTCCCACGATTCATCTAGTTCCTTGCATGCATCAATAGTTCATTCCTTTTTTTTGCTGAGAGCATTCTGTGGTGTGGATGCACCACAGTTTGTTTAGCCTTGCGCACGAAGGACATCTCTGAGTGGTTTCCAGTTTTTGACTATTATGAGTAATGCTGCTATGAATGTTTATATGTAGGGTTTTGTGTGAACGTAAGCTTTCATTTCTCTGGGATAAATGCCCAGGAGTGCGGTTGTTGGGCTGTATACTGTTTTGTGTTTAGGTTTTAAGAAGATACCTGTTTTCTAGAGGTGTTGCACCATTTTACATTCCTACCAGTGTTTTGTAAGGGATTCATTTCTTTCACGTCCTGATCAGCATTTGGTGGTGTCCCTGTTTTTTATTTTAGCCATTCTGACAGTTGTATAGTGATACCTCTTTGTGATTTTAATTTGGATTTCCCTAATGGCCCCTTTCTCTAATGAGCATCTGTGCTTATTTGTCATCTGTATGTCCTCTTAGGTGAGATGTCTGTTCCTGTCTCTTGCCCATTTTCTAATTGGACTTTTTAAAACTCTCTGAGTTTTGTTTTGTTTTGTTTATTTTTTTGATCATGGTAAAAGTACAAGAAATTTATTATCTTAACCATTTGTTAAGTTCAGTCGTGCGTCAAAAGACAAAATTACAACAAATTTAATGTAGGGATCTTAATTGGCTTTTGTGATCCCAGAATCAGGCAACACCTCATTCTGTAGAATTCTGTAAAACAGAATGAGTGCTCTCATGAGCTGAGCAGAGGAAGTTGGCTTCGTAGACAGAAAAAGGGTGAGGAAAGCAGACACAGAGAACAGAGAGCAGATAGGTGGTTTCAGAGGGGGGACTTCTTTATCAGGCTGGCCCAAACTGGCCCATTTGGGGATTTGCTGTTCTCTCTCTCTCCTGATTTCTTGGAAAGTCAGATAAGCAGCTTACTTTTGGCTTGGTGGTGTGGAGCTTAGCAAGAGGGCCTCCATTTTGGTTTGGTCTGCTGGGCCTGGTGCGGGACCTCAGTTCAAACCAGTGTTCTCCTGGCTCACTATATTTATGTTAAGTTTTGAGAGTCCTTTATGTGTTCTAGGCACTAGTCCTTTGTCAGGCATGTGGTTTGTAAATACTTCCTCCCATTCTGTAGCTTGTTTTTTCATCCTCCTAACAGGGTCTTTAGCTGAGCAAATGTTCTTAACGTTGATGAAGTTCCTTTTATGTATTTTTCCTCCTGTGGATTGTGATTTGGGTGTCACCTCTAAGAACTCTGCCTAGCCCAGGATCCCAAAGATTTTCTATTTTTTTTCCCTAAAAGTTTTAGTTTTATGTTTTTCATTTAGGTCCCTGACCCATTTTGAGTTCATTTTTCTGTAAGGTGTGGGGTTTAGGTCAAGATTCATTGTTGTTGTTGTTGTTGTTGTTGTTATTGCTTTTGTGGATGTGTAATTGCTGCAGCAACCTGTTGAAAAGGCTGGCCTCCTCTCTTTCCCCCACTGCTTTCACATCTTTGTTGAAAATAGTTGGGGTTCCCTGGCAAAGCTGCAGATATTTAAAAAAAAATCAGTTGGGTGTATTTGTTTGGGTCTATTTCCAGGTTCCATATTTTGTCCCATTGATCTGTATGTCAGTTACCCCTCTGCTAATACTGGATGGTCTTGATGACCATAATTATATAGTTAGCCTTAATACCAAGGTGACTGATTCCTCCCAGTTTATTCATCTTTTTCAAAATTGTTTTTCCAAGTTGTTCTAGATCCTTTGTCTTTCCATATAAATTTTAAAACAATCTTGTCTAAAGCTACTAAAAAATCCTGCTGGGGTTTTGTGAGGAATGGTGTTAGTAATGGAGGGGATTGAGATCGTTACTGGGTTGAATCTTCCAATCAATCCATGGACATTGAGTGTCTTTTTCTTCTTTAGTGAAAGCTTCAGATGTGAAGACAGACGGTTGTGGTGCTGGCTGCTGCCATGCACTGAGAGATGCGGTTCCAGGGAGAACATGCTCAGGCAGGATATCAGGTTGTGTCTTGGCTCACTTCTGCTTTGTTGGTTTTTAAACGTATAGGCCTATGAAAGGAGGTTCCCTACGTGTCCCTTGATTCCGATGTTCGTGGGCAGTGACACTGTGAATGAATTCAAGAGTGAAGATGGGGCTATTCACGTCATCGAAAGGCGCTGCAAGCTGGATGTGGATGCGCCCCGGCTGCTGAAGAAGGTAACGCATGGAAACGATGTCTTGGAGGGCGGGCCCCGAAGACAGCATGAAATTCGGCTACAGCTTCTGTGTAACTGGCTGTTATTAATAAACACTTTTTCTCTTTATTTCTTTTTTTTTAAAGATCGCAGGAGTTGATTTTGTTTATTTTGTCCAGAAAAACTCACTGAATTCTCGGGAACGTACATTGCACATCGAGGCTCATAATGAAACATTTTCCAATCGGGTCATCATTAACGAGCATTGCTGCTACACCGTGAGTAACCTGTCATTTGGTGGAAGATGTTCTGCTGACGCAGGACTTCTGGAGATTGTTTGATCACCATTTTAAACAGTGCATCTTGTTGTCTTAGAGGGTAGTTCTTTGTTAGATTTTGTTGCTCACTTCTCGTGTAGGAGGGAAGGGTAGCAGGTCCGGTCTCCTGCAGTGGATTATGTTGTTGTGGCAGTTAAGGCGGTCGAGTGATGCCGTCAGACAGAGTCTCACTCTCTTGCCAGGCTGGAGTGCAGTGGCGTGATCTCGGCTCACTGCAGCCTCTGCCTCCCAGGTTCAAGTGATCTTCTTGCCTTAGCCTCCAGAGTAGCTGGGATCACAGGCACGCACCACCACACCCGGCTCAATTTTTGTATTTTTAGTAGAGACAGGGTTTCACCATATTGGCCAGGCTGGTCTGGAACTCCTGACCTCACGTGATCTGCCCCTTGGTCTCCTGTTGATTTGTTTTTAAATATTACTTTCTTTTTCTTTTATTTATTTATTTTTGAGACAGAGTTTTACTCATTGCCCAGGCTGGAGTGCAGTGGCACAATCTCAGTTCACTGCAGCCTCCACCTTCCAGGCCTAAGTGATCCTCCTGCTTCAGCCTCCCAAGTAGCTGCACCTATAGGCACATGCCACCATGCCTGGCCAATTTTTGTTTTTTTTTTTTTTTTTTGTAGAGATGAGGTCCTGCTCTTTGCTCAGGCTGGTCTCAAACTCCTGGACTCAAGCAATCCGCCCACGTTAGCCTCCCAAAGTGTTGGGATTATAGGTGTGAACCACCATGCCTGACCCTCACCCCTGGTTCTTTTAGCCTGCTCCAAGTTTTCTTTTTTCAACAGCACTTACTTGTATTTAATTTTCTTACATACTGTGTTTCTGGCTAATTGTCTTCCCTGTTAGACTGTTGAACGCTTCCAAGACCAGTACCTTTTGGTTCATAATGGAAGACTGTTCAGTGAGTATGTTGAATGAATGAATGAACCAAAAATGAAAATAGGCAGGGCATGGTGGCTCACGCCTGTAATCCCAGCACTTTGGGAGGCTGAGGTGGATGGATCACGAGGTCAGGAGATCGAGACCATCCTGACCAATATGGTGAAACTCCATCTCTACTAAAAACATGAAAATTAGGTGGGCGTGGTGGGTGCCTGTAATCCCAGCTACTTGGGAGGCTGAGGCAGGAGAATCGCTCTGGGAGGCAGAGGTTGCAGTGAGCCAAGATTGCACCAATGCACTCCAGCCTGATGACACAGCAAGATTCCGTCTCAAAAAAAAAAAACGAAGATCTCCTTTTATAGTAATCTTTGAAATGTTTTTGAACAATTACTTGGATCTCTTCATGATTTAGAACGTGACTTCGGTCCTGATTTTGAACATGATTTTGGCATTTTTCCGTCTGCTGTCTATATGGTAGTAGCATTGTTAGTAAAGTAAGTGTTTCTTCTGGTTACTGGTTAAACTAAGGAGCAGACAAGTGACATTCTGTTGTCAGTACAGTCAGTGAGAGTGCTTTCTCTTTATCTGCAGGTTCACCCTGAAAATGAAGATTGGACCTGTTTTGAGCAGTCTGCAAGTTTAGATATTAAATCTTTCTTTGGTTTTGAAAGTACAGTGGAAAAAATTGCAATGAAACAATATACCAGCAACATTAAAAAAGTGAGTATATTTTGGGATTTTTATGGCAGGGGTGGGCAGGATTCTCTGAGATGACCTGTCTTTTTGGAAGGCTGGGGATTGGTTAGCGAGAGATAGGCAGCATTTCTTGGGTGGAGACTCTGTGATCCCTACCCCCGGCCTCATCTTTGGGTATAGGGGTTCAGGTTGTGCTGGCTGCTAATGGACAAAGGAGGTACCTGTAGCTCCAGCCATGGCACTCTCTGCTTGGGATTGCGGAGAGAGGTGGAAACTGGAGAGAGGCAGCAGCAACTGGCGTACAGCGCCCAGGCCTTGCTGCAGGGTCGGGAGGAGGTCTGGGTCCTGGGGAAGGGCTTGCCGGGCAGGCTGCCCCCCTTGGATTATTACTTCTTCCAAGGGAGACCTTCCCTTCTCGTTTTTGTGCTGTTGCTCATCCATTGTTACGGAATTGTGGTTTTGAAATGTATTGGTGTGGGATTATGGAGTGGTTTTTGAAGGCTCATTTTCAGGGTACTGCATTGGAAAGAATTTGAATTGAGACGTAAATCATATATTGAGTACAAGTACCATAAATCAGCATTTAAAAATAGTCATATAAAAATTCCATTTCCTAAACCTTGGAAAAGAGTAAGTGAAATAAAAACACAAAAGCATTTGGCTTTTTTTTCCTGTTTATTTTATAGCAATACAGATTTATTGGTGTTTTAAAACTTGTGAGGGACTGGGTGCAATGGCTCATGCCTGTAATCCCAGTACTTTGGGAGGCTGAGGTGGGCAAATGCTTGAGTCCAGGAGTTCAAGACCAGCTGGGGCAACATTGTGAAACCCCGTCTTTACAAAGAATACAAAAATTAGCCAGGTTTGGTGGCACATGCCTGTAGTCCCAGCTACTGGGGAGGCTGAGGTAGGAGGGTGGCTTGAGTCCAGGAGGTTGAGGCCACAGTGAGCTGTGATCATGCCTCTGCACTCCAGCCTGGGCCACAAAGCGAGACCCTGTCTCAATAAAAAAGCTTGTGAGGTTCACCATCCTCTGTTGGCTAGAAAAAAAAGACAAATCTTGGGAGGGATGAATAATTTGTGTGTTGAATATATACTCACCTTTAAACTGGTTTTGTTGTAAAGGGAAAGGAAATCATTGAATACTACCTTCACCAGTTGGAAGAAGAAGGCATAACCTTTGTGCCCCGTTGGACTCCGCCTTCCATCACACCCTCTTCAGAGACATCTTCATCCTCCTGCAAGAAACAAGCAGCGTCCATGGCCGTCGTCATCCCAGATGCTGCCCTCAAGGAGGGGCTAAGTGGCGATGCCCTCAGCAGCCCCAGCGCACCTGAGCCCGTGGTGGGCACCCCTGATGGTGGGTCTGGGGGGGCTTCATCCTGAGAACAAAGCTGGGGAAACCTGCCTTGCCATTTTCTCTCTGTTTGCTTTGCCCGTTCTTTGGGACATTAGATAACTCACAAAGAAAAGACCCATCTCTTGTTTCTGGCCCTTATCCTCTAGCCTTTATAAACATTCATTTTACTTTTTCTTAGAGTTTTTGTTAATAGGGAAAAGCGGTTATATCAAATTATTATTTTATTGATACCAGAAGGTGTTTGTTAGTTTAAGAGAGGGGGTCTCACTATGTTGCTCAGGATGATTTTGAACTCTTGGGCTCAAGCAGTCCTTCCACCTCGGCCTCCTAAGGTGCTGAGATTATAGGCATGAGCCACCATGCCCGATCTAAGGAAGGTGTTTTTCTTTTTTCTTTCTTTTTTTTGAGATGGAGGCTAGAGTGCAGTGGTGCAATCTTGGCTCACTGCAACCTCCGCCTTCCAGGTTCAACTGATTCTCCTGCCTCAGCCTCCCAAGTAGCTGGGACTCCAGGCATGTGCCACCATGTCCAGCTAATTTTTTAATATTTTTAGTAGAGATGGGGTTTCACCATGATGGCCAGGCTGGTCTTGAACTCCTGACCTTGTGATCCACCCACCTTGGCCTCTCAGAGTGCTAGGATTACAGGCATGAGCTCCCGTGCCCAGCCCATACCTGGCTAATTTTTAAAATTTTTTGTAGAGGTGGTCTCACTATGTAGCCCAAGCTGGGTGTTTATTTTTCTGTACATTTTTCTCTACAGCCAAACTGTGCCATTTGTGAGATTTCAACAAATGATGGGGGTGGGCAGATGGTTTGGCAATATATTTTATTTTTTAACTTGGGAATTTTTGTTATACTTACTTTGCTGTCTCATTCGTCTAGTTTATTTTACCTTATCAGGAAAAAAGTTTCTTATGTTATTATTTTTTTTGAGGCAGAGTTTCACTCTGTTGCCCAGGCTGGAGTACAGTGGTGCCATCTTGGCTCACTGCAACCTCTGCCTCCTGAGTTCAGTGAGTCTCCTGCCTCAGCCTCCTGAGTAGCTGGGATTACAGGCATGCACCACCACACTTGGCTAATTTTTGTATTCCTGACCTCAGGTGATCTGCCTGCCTCAGCCTCCTGAGTAGTTGGGATTACTGGCGTGAGCCACCAGATTTCTTACATTCTTGAACACAGTAGCTCTATTCAAAATAGATTTAGATTTGCTTGTTTTTTTGTTTTTTCTTAAATTTTATATCTTGTAAGTTCTTTTTGTGTTACGTTTCTCTTAGAACTAAAACAGTCATTAATATCTGTTATAGCCATGAGTAGTATTGTGATTGGCAATAGAGGTAACTCAGCGGTAATCAGGGAAAGAGGAGTGAGTCAGAAAGTTTACCTGTGGCTTAGTCAGTGACTTCTCTCAAAACCTGTCCCTGAAGTCCCCTAGGGATCTGGTTTACTTCTGCCATCTGCGGTTTCATTTGCCTCTAGACTCTAGGGCCACATGTTAACTCCACTGAGCAGAAGGACTTTGGGAGCCTAAAGCTTTTTGTGTAAATCAATGTCGTTTACATTCCAGACAAACTAGATGCCGACTACATCAAGAGATACTTGGGCGATTTGACTCCACTGCAGGAGAGCTGCCTCATTAGACTTCGCCAGTGGCTCCAGGAGACCCACAAGGGCAAAGTGAGTGTTGGCTCCACGCCCAGCGTGCAGGGCCGGGGCTATGTGAAATCATGGAACTCTTCCTGCCCATAGTCACCCGTCTTCCACAGCCATTGTTTCTTCCAGTCTAGAAGTCATTGAATGTGTGTCTCTGTGGAATCTGCGTCCTTAAGCTAGTGATAACGCATGATTAACTGCATGGTTTTAGACTTTACAGAGCAAGGTCTGGCTTACAGACGGTGTCAAGTTAGAGAGCAACATTGTGTTCCAAGTATTCATACATTCAGATTTTCAGAAGCTGTGAAAAGAGTTCAGAGATGTATCAGAGATGAGAGAAGTTTTCAGGATTTTAGTGAAATTTCAGCCTCATAAGGGTGTAGATTTTTATAAGCCTTACATAGTGAGCAGAGCCTGGTGTGTGTCTAGCGAGTTGTTGACATCATCTAGTAAAGGGAAACTAGGCATTGCGTGTATTTGGCCTGATCTCTAATTCTGTCAGTCTGGTTACTCGAGACCAAATCACTGAGTACATTTAACACCAGTCATCGAGAAAACACTGCATTCATGATGGCTACTGTTTGCTGTATACTTACCATTATTAGACACTGTTTTAAGGTCTTTATTCAGTCCTTTCAGCAGCTCTCTCTGGTCCTATTTTTTTCCCTGGTTTTACATGTGAGAAAACTGGGGCACAGAGAAGTGAACTAACTTGCCTGAGGTCTCACAGCTAGCGAGTGGTGGGATCAGGATTTGAACCCAGGCCATTTTGTTTTGGAAGCTACATTCTTAACCACGATCATAACTGTAGTCCTTTCTGAGTGAAGATGATGCCACATCAGTAGGCCACATGCTTTTGAGTTATTTCCCAGGAGTTGGGGTTGTGAGTAGCTCATGCTCCCACTCCCTTCTTGTTCTCCTCGTGGACCAGCCTCTGAGTTGATAAGCACACGGCCACGGATGAAGACACTTAGTCCATGTGACACTAAGAACATGGCCTTGGCCTTGTTCTTTATTCAGGGAAGCCGGCCTGTTGATTGAGTGTTGGAATCTGGAGAAGATTCCTGTATTAGTTAGCAACACCGCCACATTACGAAAGCCCAACATGCTTTTTTGTATCCTGACTTTTTCTTTAATCTGTGGTTTTCGTTTTTAATTATCTTAAGTCTTATGATCACTCATAATTTTTAACTTTGTGTGTATCTCCTCTAATCTTTCTAATGAGTCGGCAAAAGCACCATTGCCAATCACATAGATGCGTGGTAGTTCCACCGTTTTATGTTTTAGAATTTTGTATTTTATAGAGCCGCTCTGTCACCCTGGCTGGAGTGTAGTGGTGCAGTCTTGACGCACTGCAGCATCTGCCTCCCGGGTTCAGGCTGTTCTCCTGCCTCAGCCTCTGGAGAGCTGGGATTAGCTCTGCCACCATTTCTGGCTGACTTTTGTATTTTTAGTAGAGAACAGGGTTCCACTATGTTGGCCAAGCTGGTCTTGAACTCCTGACCTCAAGTAATCCGCCTACCTTAGCCTCCCAAAATGCTCAGATTATTACAGGTGTAAGAGTCATTGTGTCCAGCCTCAAATGGCTTTTAAAAGACAATGCTAAATTATAACTTAGTCTAACTTAAGTAGTAAAGAATTCAGAAGTAAAGTTTAACTTGCTACATTTCTTGTCATACTGACTTTTTTTTTTTTTTTTTTTGAGATGGAGTCTCGCTCTTCACCAGGCTGGAGTGCAGTGGCATGATCTTGGCTCACTGCAACCTCCGACTCCCTGGTTCAAGTGATTCTCCTGCCTCAGCCTCCCAAGTGGCTGGGATTACAGGCATATGCTACCACATCCAGCTGATTTTTGTATTTTTAGTAGAGATGGGATTTCACCATGTTGGATCTCCTGACCTTGTGATCCATCCACCTCAGCCTTCCAAAGTGTTGGGATTACAGGTGTGAGCCACTGTGCCTGGCTTCTGAATCAGAATTCTTAAAATTCAAAAAACAGAACATAGTGCTTTAAGCAGAAGCCAGCCTTAGTTGAATCAGGATTGCCCAACAAAAATATTCTGATGATTGTTCATGGTCTGAATTCTGGTGTGTGAGATAGATCTATTAAATTATGATACACATTAAAAAGTCATGACAGAGGCCAGGTATGGTGGCTTGCATCTGTAATCCCAGCACTTTGGGAGGCCAAGGCAGGCGGATCACGAGGTCAGGAGGTCGAGACCATCCTGGCCAACATGGTGAAACCCCATCTCTCCTAAAAATACAAAAAAATTAGCTGGGTGTGGTGGCGCACGCCTGTAGTCCCAGCTTCAGGAGGCTGAGGCAGGAGAATTGCTTGAACACAGGAGGCGGAGGTTGCAGTAAGCCAAGATTGCGTCTACAGCCTGGGCAACAATGCGAGACTTTGTCTAAAAAAAAAAAGTCATGACATTTCGGTTTTGTAATAAACAATGCAATGACCAATTATTATTTATTAGTAGCTTTTTTGAAATAAACTTTCAAGTCTGCCCTTTCTGCCTCCTTCTTAACACCAGTGAAGACCATTTTTGTTCCAGGGATTCTCCAAATAGCCCATCAGCGTGTCCTCACTGCAGGTGATGCCTTTGTTCTTACTGGCATCTGTGTTAGAGTCCAGTGGCCTGACCTGTCTTCCACCCAGAGAGACTGTGGAGATCTGGCCCAGTCTTGTGCTGGCCTCCCTTTTTCATGGTGTGGCACTGGGCACCCTTCGGAACAAAAGTCTTGCCTTTCTCAACATCACCCATGTTTAATTCTCTTTAGTCACTAGCACTACGAGGGTTTCCATTCAGAAGCCAGGTGTCCTGCTCTCACTTTATTCTGACTTTTTATTTTAATGTAGTGTGTATACAGAGAAGTGCACAGAGCATAGTAATTCATAGATCCGATCGTTCATAGAATTGAAGCATTTGGTGTTTAGGGTATCATCTACGCCTTTGCTGTACTTTGCAGAAACCAAAATGGATTACTATAAAGATTATTCAAACTGATAATGCTGATTTTCTCTAGAGTAGTAAGGGAGATTTTTCTGGTACCAGCTCATTTTAAATAGTATAATAATGCAGCTCACTGTTGATTAGAAGTGGGAATTTTAGGCCAGACGTGGTGGCTCATGCCTATAATCCCAACCCGTTGGGAGGCCAAGGTGGGAGGATCGCTTAAGCTCAGGAGTTTGAGACCAGCCTGGGCAACACGGGGAAACCACATCTCTACAAATACAAAAATTAGCTGGGCGTGGTGGCGTGTGCCTGTGGTCCCAACTACTCAGAAGGCTGAGGTGGGAGGATTGCTTAAGCTCTCAAGTTGGGGGCTGCAGTGAGCTGAGATGGTGCTACAACACTCCAGCCTGGGTGACAGAATGCGAGCGCCTGTCTCCCAATGAAAATTGGAAATTTTAGAGTCTTACTCCCTTAGCAACTTTTTTATTAGTGCAATAGTGCGATCTTGGCTCCCTGCAGCCTCCACCTCTCAGGTTCAAGTGATCCTTCCCCTGCCTCAGCCTCCAAGTAGCTGGGATTAAAGGCATGCGCCACCAGTCCTGGCTAATTTTTATATTTTTAGTAGAGATGGGGTTTCATCATATTGGCCAGGCTGGTCTCGAACTCCTAAGCTCAAGTGATCCACCTGCCTTGGCCTCCCAAAGTGCCCTTTACAACTTTTAACGTTGCTTAGAAACATCTTTCTCTCTTAATAGATTCCAAAAGATGAGCATATTCTTCGGTTCTTACGTGCGCGGGATTTTAATATTGACAAAGCCAGAGAGATCATGTGTCAATCTTTGACGTGGCGGAAGCAGCACCAGGTGGACTACATTCTCGATACCTGGACCCCTCCACAGGTCCTTCAGGATTACTACGCAGGAGGCTGGCATCATCACGACAAAGGTACCAGATGGAGTTGAAACTGTCTGTGTTTCCGTCATTGTCTTGCTGTGTCGTTGGAGAGATCCTCTAAGACCTTCTTCCATGGAGTTGAGTGGGGCCCTGCTGAGTGCGGGTTTCTCTTCACTCTGAGAATTGGGCATCTTTTCCCAAGTTGAACAGACTGATGCTCCACTTCACTACAGGCGCACTGGTCCCGCCCTGGGCAGCCAGGAGAGGCCTAAGCCTGCTGCTTCCCTATGGATGCACGCCATCCTTGGGGTGCAGTACAGTTTGTTTTGACCTATTGAAAAGACAGCGCCACAGTGTTAATTAAGGGAATTTTCGATGACTTAAACCCTATGATAGCTGAAAACGGTTCAGCCAGGTTTTCTCCATCAGCAGTGAGCACTTCAGTTCTGCTTTGGGAGTAGGGCGTGGATGATGCACCTCAAATGAAGAGTGATTTAAATGAGAGCCTGAAACACAGTTCCCCCGAATGCCTTCCATACCCTGCCTTGCAGGAAGACCTGCACTGTCAAAAATGCACTCTTTCCTGAGCCAAAGTTTGCCAGCTGGGCAGGGCAGCATTGGAGGCATCAGTGAGAGGGAAGCACCGTGGAACTGGCCCTTCTTCGGGAGTGGGAATTGGAAGCTGGCTTTTAAAAATCTTGTATTCAGATTTTAGTGATCGATGACATGAAAAATAATAGTTTTCTAAAGAAGGAAATGTGAATGCCGTCTGTAGTCATGGAAGTGTCTGGCTAGTCTGATGTTCCCTTGCCATTGAGAATCTGAGCTCTTGGGCAGCCCCAGTTGTTCAAAGTGAGGAGACTGAGCCCCGCCTCTGGGCAGCTTGAGCTGAGCCCCGACTGGGTTCCCCTCATCCCGGCACAGCCTTCTGTTTCCAGGACTCTGCACAGCTACTCTCTCTGTCAGTTGGTTTTTATTTTTCTCGCTTACAACTTTTTGGGGAAGATACTGGACACACACCCCCTACCCCACACAGAAATCAATTGCCGCTTCTAAGAATCACAAAGACCTTCAAGCACACCCAGAACACAGGCGAACTGGCATTTTCCTGTTAAGGGTCTTAGAGTCATATCCTCAGTGTCAGTCAGCTGGGACGGTGCCGGTGCCGATAACCCATTCCTTCCCCTCCCCTGCAGATGGGCGGCCCCTCTACGTGCTCAGGCTGGGGCAGATGGACACCAAAGGCTTGGTGAGAGCGCTCGGGGAGGAGGCCCTGCTGAGATATGTAAGTGCGGGGCCGAGAGACCCCAGGCTCCAGTGTGGCGTCACTGTCTTTTTCTGCCAGCAGGATGGGGGTGTTAACCAGCCTGTTAGAACAAACGTGAATTGCTTTTGTAGTTAGAACTGAAAATATATTAATGTAGTCTTAAAATTTGCAAAGAAGACACAGAAGTTACGGAAGTGTTTCTCTCATTGGCAGCGTCAGTGCAGCAGTCAGAGTCTTCCCCCGAGATGCCTGTGTGGCTGTGGTTCTGTCTTTTCATTCACTCCCACGTGGAATTGCTCTCTCCTGGGATGCCACTCACAACAGACCTCTTGATAGCATTCTCTCCACTGGCCCTTCCTTGACATGCCCTCTTGGCATCTTTCTCTACACCATCCTGAAGGCCCCGCTGACCCATCGTCCCACTGACTCTGGCCAGGCCCTGCTCCGCTGCTGCGGCCAGTGTGTATCTGTGCCTCCCCCTCCCAGAGAAGAAGATGGTCCTTTAATTTGAAAACAAACAAACTTAAAAGGCACATTTATGACCCTGTTACCCTGAAATACGCACTTTTGGCTTTATTTTTTCTTTACTTTTTTGACACAGAGTTTCGCTCTTGTTTCCCAGGCTGGAGTGCAATGGCGTGATCTCAGCTTGCTGCAACCTCTGCCTCCTGGGTTCAAATGATTCTCCTGCCTCAGCCTCCCGAGTAGCTGGGACTACAGGCTGTCACCACACCCGGCTAATTTTTTTGTATTGTTAGTAGAGATGGAGTTTCACCATGTTGGCCAGGCTGGTCTCGAACTCCTGACCTCAGATGATCCACCTGCCTCAACCTCCCAAAGTGCTGGGATTACAGGTGTACGCCACTGCACCCGGCCAGCATTTTTTTTTTTAAAGAGACATGGGGTGCAGGGTCTATTCATGGGTGTGATCATCACTCACTGCACCTTCAAACTCCTGTCCTCAAGTGGTTCTCCCATGTCAGCCTCCTGAGTAGCTGGGACTTGTTACAAGCACCACCGCTGAGCCTGGCTTACTGTTGGCGTTCCCTTGTGTATTGCTGTTAGTCTGCCCCCACCGCCATGTGTGTTTATCCACACATGCATATGTTCACACATGAAGATATGGATGGACTTCATCTGCAGGGGAAGGGTTTGTTAATCTGAAACAGAAGATCTCTTGAGCCATGCCTGAAGTCTATGCTAAGACTGCCTTTTCTCTTGGCTGGCATGTGATATTAGAGTGTTTGCACACTCACAGATGCTTATCTGCTGTTCCCATGCCCTTGTTCTGAAGACAGAGCCCCAGTGTGAGGCCCCTGCTCATCCTGTGATTCCTCTGGCCCGCACTTCTCTTTGGATAGCTGTTACCTTTGCTGTACATGACAGTGTTTATTCTCTTTCAAGGGTCACATTTTTTTGTTGGTGGTGATGTGGTTAGTACATGTGAATGTGTAAGAAAACCTACATAGGTCACTTTTTTGGTTTACATACTTACCTGTAAAATGCTGTTTATGTCCCTCTTCTATAGCTGCACGCGTTAGTTTCAGCCTGAGACTAATCATGGGAAATTTTCATCCTCTTCTGTGTGTAGGTTCTCTCCATAAATGAAGAAGGGCTAAGACGATGTGAAGAGAATACAAAAGTCTTTGGTCGGCCTATCAGGTAGATGTGGGATTTTGCTCTTCCTTTCAACTTACTGAGAAAACAAATTAAATATTTCTAGTTGATTTTTGGAAGTAAAATCTGCTTCTTATTTTCCAAGATGCTCTAAAAGGTAGAAAAGAGGTGAACATGTAATAATGCCAGTGGCGAGGGACAAGACAGTCACTGTTTCCTGTCCCAGGCATTGCTGTCCATCAGCCTGGGTGGGTTGGCCTGTCTGCCTGGTTCGTGTGGTCCACATGGGCCTAGGGCTGCACGTCATTTCCTTGTTTTTGCCTCTCCTCCTCACCCAGATGACTCTGTGTTCTGAAACCATGCTTTCAGTTTCAATCCACAGTCCTGAAAATGTTCAGCGATTTAGAGGTTGACATTGGTAAGGGTGTAGATGGTTCACTGGGATATAAGTTCCGTGAGAACAGGGATTTTGAGGGCTCTTTGCTCACTGCTATATTCTCAGCTCCTGAGACTGCTTGCCTCTCGCTGTTGAAGCATAGCTCACTGCAGTTCAGACACAGTATGTGTTAAAATACCAGCTGTGTGCCCTATTGATGGCAGGTTAGGGGGTGGTTTAGCACGTGGAGGACAGCACACTGTGGCTTTGCTTGCCAGCTCACTGAACACATCTGAGAGAGATTTTCATGTGCTGCCAATCAGCCTTGCAGTTTCAGCCTTGGTTTTAACACACTGATCCTGTGTGTTTTGTACAAATAGATATAAACAGAGTTCATGGCACCGTAATTTGAGAAATTGATTATTGTGTATTTGGAAATAGCTGAAAGTGACCAAAAAGGAAAAAAGTCATAAGACACGGTTTACTAAGTGTGCTGCTGTCTGTTGAATGAAACACGTCTCTGCACAACCTGCAGCTCCTGGACCTGCCTGGTGGACTTGGAAGGGCTGAACATGCGCCACTTGTGGAGACCTGGTGTCAAAGCGCTGCTGCGGATCATCGAGGTGGTGGAGGCCAATTACCCTGAGACGCTGGGCCGCCTTCTCATCCTGCGGGCACCCCGGGTGTTTCCTGTGCTCTGGACGCTGGTGGGTTCAGATGCCTTTTGCAGTAACTGTGAGCCATTTGGAAAGCAGATACACATGCATTCATACACACGTCTGTGACCTAAAGCCTTAACTACTTAGAAAAAAACAGCATGCAAAGATATAAAATTTCTCAAATTGTTTAGGGAAGGGGGAAGAAAAGCACAGTCTGTCTGAGTGTCCTAATGCCTTGCAAATAGACTTTACAGAAAAAGTGTATAAACTCGAATTCCCACCCCCCATTCATAACCGTAGTGTCATTTTAATCTTTGCCAGTCAGGCCTCAGATCAGATATGACTCGATGGTCTTTCTCCTCCTCACAGGTGAGTCCCTTCATTGATGACAACACCAGAAGGAAATTCCTCATTTACGCAGGAAACGACTACCAGGGTCCGGGAGGCCTGCTGGATTACATTGACAAAGAGATTATTCCAGATTTCCTGAGTGGGGAGTGCATGGTATGTAGCCAGGCGAGGAACTGCACACTTGGCTCCTCAGACAGGTGGGAGAGGTCGATGTTGATGTGCACAGATGATTTTCAGAACTTTTCATTTGGATGTTTTGTTTCTGTTTTGTTTCTTTTGGCTGCCATTTCTCTGATCCAGGATCAGGCTAAAGAGAACCATTTAAGTAATTGTTGACACTATACATTTCTTTGCTGTTAAATAAAAATGAGAATTTGTTGTAGAATCGGATACAATTGTAGCTCTCTTTATTCGCAGGGTTTCATGTGAAGCAGATCTTTAAACCATTTCAGAGGAGCTGTAGTGTTTTTTTAAAATACTATTAAACTGAATCCGTTTTCAAAAGTTTTCACCCACCCCTCCCCCTCCTTCATTTTTATGGAGACAGGGTCCTGCTCTGTCACCCAGGCTGGAGTGCAGTGGTGGGATCACATCATAGCTCACTGCATCCTGACCTCATGGGCTCAGGTGATCCTCCTACCTCAACCACCCAAGTAGCTGGGACTATAGGCATGCGCCACCATACCCAGCTCATATCTGTATTTTTTGTAGAGATAGAGCCTCATTATGTTGCCCCAGGCTGGATAACATTTTTGGGTGTTGTTTTTTTTTTTTGAGATGGAGTCTCCCCGTGTCCCCCAGACTGGAGTGCAGTGTTGCAGTCTCGGCTCACTGCAGCCTCCACCTCCATATTCAAGCAATTCTCCAGCCTCAGCCTCCAGAGTAGCTGGGATTACAAGCATGTGCCACCACACCCGTATAATTTTTGTATTTTTAGTAGAAACACGGTTCTACCATGTCAGCCAGGCTGATCTCAAACTGCTGACCTCAAGTGATCTGCCCACTTCGGCCTCCCAAAGTGCTGGGATTACAGGCATGAGCCACCATGCCTGGTCTGGATAACATTTTTAAAGTAGAAGAATGAAGGGAAGTGGCTCTCAAAATATGTTTGGGGTTTTTAATACACTGAGTTACTGGGTAATCAAGCAGAGGCCTCCACTTCTATACCCTGTGCTCTGAGAAGCTCAGAACCTTGGGGTCCTTCTAGCCATGGCGCCCATTGTGCCATGGGAGCGTTAAGGAAGCCAAAGCCTGTGGAAGTCCCAGTGACTTGTTCCGTGGCACGTGGTGGCAGCTGAACTCAGCAGGGAGGGAATGAAGCTTCTTATCCAAGGGCTCTCTAGTCATCCTTCATATAAAGTTACCCATTTGAGATATGTACCCACTGGGTTTGACTCATGTATTTAGCTAATGAATTGGACACTCAGGGGACTTCGAACTTTCTGAATGGTTAGAGAAATTTAGAAAACAAATGTAGCATTTACTTCATCAGTTCCAGTTTCGGGAAATGGCAGGCATCATCACAGTGCAATGCAAAGAGTGAGTCAGTAATAGTAAAAGTCATGGGACCAGAATTTAGCAAGTGTCTCTGAGGTTAACACGGGCTCCGGTTTGTCGAAACCTTTGAACACTTTTCGTTATGTGAGCTAACCATCCCGAAGCAATTACGACATGAAGAATTGAGCTGGCGCACAAGGAGACTTGACACAGACTGCCAGTCACAGCCATGTTGTCACATGCTGACCTCCGTAGTGTGTTTGCCATGTTGAATGTCTCTGTGGTTAATTAAGCTCTCCAAAAACATGGGCCTTCTGAGACTTCTTTACCGCTGTCCTGAGCTGCTGTTTGGGCTGGTTGTTGAAAGGAGGCTGTGCACTTCTGCTCTTTGGTGGCAGAGTAACCATGGGCCAGGCTGGGACTTTTCCAGCATGCTCTCGCTGTTGTGACTCTCTCCACTCATGCTGCCCTGCACGCTGAAAACGGAGATGTTTATTTTCTATGTAGTTGCTTCCCAGGGCTGATGATAAAGGTAGGACTTGGATTTTATGAACTTTAGTGTGGAGTCATTGTATCAAGGTTAATTAGGAGATTTACGATATGTACAAATTCTAATTCAACTTGTTTCAGGCAAATTCAAAAGAAGTTCTTCATTAGGTTTTGTTTGGTGTTATAGACCAGTCATTTGACTTTAGACACAAAACATTATTCATTGATGCTATATCTTGACTATAATTTCATAGCATAAAAATAATGCCTGTGGCTACTGAGAGCAAAACTCTTCTTAAAGTAATGCTCTTCCTTTACAGGGCAACGTAAATAACCCTAATGCTTAAATGAGCCATCTTTAGTAATTGGGTGTAGTGCCGCATGCATGTTGCTATGATTCTTTCGTAAATCAGCTTCGACTTGTTCTCATTTTTGCAAAGTGAAACACATGTTGAAGTGGTTTAAAAACATACCGCTGGGCAGTGCAGAGTATTTTACGACCCTGCCAGTGTTTTCCATTTTCTCAGCAGCTTCCAGGAGTGGGGCGTAGCGGATGGTGCTGGCTGTCAGCTGTGTTTCGTGCGGTTGGTTTGGGTTTGCACTACTTTCACTGCCTTGTTTCTGTTTCCAGTGCGAAGTGCCAGAGGGTGGACTGGTCCCCAAATCTCTGTACCGGACTGCAGAGGAGCTAGAGAATGAAGACCTCAAGCTCTGGACCGAGACCATCTACCAGTCTGCAAGCGTCTTCAAAGGAGCCCCACACGAGGTACACCCGCCTTCCTGCACCCGAAGGCACCTGGGCAGCCGGTCCTCCCACCCCCGCAGGGCTTCTGGCAGCCTTTCATTGAGAACAGTACTCGTTTTTCTGGTCTTTGTCTTCAGGCTTTTGTTGACACTTGATACCTAGTTTCAGTAAATGTCAACACCGAAGAACAGGTCTCTCCTAGAATAGAAAAGTGCTTGATCAGAGTGCCTGGAAAGGAAATTGGATCTCTTGACCTCCATTTTACTAAAGACACGAAACACAGAGATAGGAATAACTCATCTTTCCTTGTTGAAGCACTTAACTCCTGAACTTAGTTTATTTCTTGGTTATACTGAACAAGTTTCATTTGCTACTTTTCTTTCTTTCTTTCCTTCTTTCTTTTTTTTTGAGATGGGGTTTTGCTCTGTCACCCAGGCTGGAGTGCAGTGGCACTATCTCAGCTCACTGCAGCCTTTGTCTCCCAGATTCAAGTGATTCTCCTGCCTCAGCCTCCCAAGTAACTGGGATTATAGGCACCTGCCACCATACCCGACTAATCTTTGTATTTTTAGTAGAGACATTTTCACCGTGTTGGCCAGGCTGGTCTTGAACACCTGACCTCAGGTGATCCACCTGCTTTGGCCTCCCAAAGTGCTGGGATTACAGGCCTGAGCCACTGTGCCTGGCCCATTTGCTACTTTCTTGACTGGGTTTTGGTTATTTATAGATATTTTGGGAATTTTCTGATTTCTGTAAGTCTGTGTTCCTTTCTTGCTATTACTTTTGGTGCAGAAGCAGGAGCTTTCCGTGTTCTGTGCATGCCTTGTGTTTGTCCTGTAGTGTACGAGTGACCTGAAGCAGGAGGGGCCTGCAGCAGAATCTCCCTTCTCAACTCAAGGGCCAGGTTCATGGCCCAGAGTTGCTGGAGAGGATGGTGGGGCTCTGTGCAGAGCAGGTGTTCAGTGAGGATATGGTGCTAGCTTGGGCAGTGGTGCCGACTCCAGCCTGCTTCCTGCCATGGCAGCACCTGGGTCAGCCGTCTGCCAGTGGCTTTTGCTGCACTGTCTTTCTGAGCGCCTCACCTGGCAGGTGGATCAGGGAACACTATTGCCATAGTTTGAACAAGCAGAGACAGATTTGGTGTGCCTTACTTGTAGACACACAGGGAAATCTCACATTTCCTAACATCTTGAGGATTATCTCTCTTAATTTCTTAACTGAAGGACAGGCTCCAGGACGCTGGGTTCTTACTCATTGTTGAGTATGTGCTGTCACTCTTGTCCATGTTTCAAGAATTTGGGGTGCAGTGTGTTTCATGTGAATCAGGGGGCATCTGTAAACATCCACGTGGTCAAAACCTCAGTTCTGCTTTGGGTATTAAATAAAGCATAGATTCGAGATGGTTGCAAACCTAAATGCATGCTGGAGCAGAGGCCCCAGCTTGAGTGCAGCAAAGAGGCGCCTGTCAGCACAGGGGCTAGGGTCTCCAGCTGCAGCGCCTGAGGAGCTGCTCTGCTGAAGAGTAGGCCGTGCTGTGCAGTGCTGCCTGCTGTCCTTAGCAGGACTCTTGTACCTCATCGAATCTGCTGTGGAAGGGCATTCCAGAGTGGCGTTTCAGTGGTGAAGTGGCAGTGGTGGGGTTGGAAAAGGAGCCCGGCTTGCAGAGCAGCCAAGTGCTAAATGTCACGGTGACTGGCACGCAGTGGGTTGACGGGCAAGCACCAGGGCAGAGGGCCGTGGTCCTGGCTCTGCTGCTTCCTTAGGCGGAGTTTTCAGTGAATGCAGAACTCTGCACAGCTGCTTTTAATTCTCATGTTCCTCCCACACTAATCTTTAAAACTAACTTTGATCATTCCCTGCTGAGAAGCTCTGTCGGCACCGTGTGAGTTCAGGTTTTTGATTGGTTCTCAGAAGCCGGGGTGGTGGTGGGGGACTGACCACCCGCCCCCTCCTCCACCATGCCAGGGCCTCATCCCACTCACCAGCCTCGCCACTGCTCTCTTGTGCCAGCCTCACACTGCAGGCCCCTTCTTTCCCCTTGCCGGGAACACTGTCCTGAGGCTCCCCCACCTTCTGGTTCTTCAGCTTTCACCTTCTCCAGGGCCTTCTGTTGCTCTCCAGCCAGGCCAGTCCTCTGAACCACTCATGTACAAGCTCAGCGTTTGGTGTTACACTAAGACCTGGTCTCTTCACGTGTGTCTGAAGATGGTGTATGGGAGCTCTCAGGCCTTTAGATGCAGGTCACAAAGAGCACAGAGCTTGGTGCACGTCATGTGGCAGGAGCCAGTGGTTGAAAGACGGATGGTGGTGTGACTCTGGGCAAAGAGATCCGCCCGTGCCCATTCAGCCTTTCCCTCCCCAGCTTTGGCACCTGGGCCTGGAGCCCCTGGAGGGGATGGTGTGCACCAGCACACGGCCTGTGCTCGTGGAGTGTGGCTGTCTGACGCTGTCTCTTTTTCAGATTCTCGTTCAGATTGTGGATGCCTCTTCAGTCATCACTTGGGATTTCGACGTGTGCAAAGGGGACATTGTCTTCAACATCTATCACTCCAAGAGGTCGCCACAGCCACCCAAAAAGGACTCCCTGGGGGCCCACAGCATCACCTCTCCAGGCGGGAACAATGTGCAGCTCATAGACAAAGTGTGGCAGCTGGGCCGCGACTACAGCATGGTGGAGTCGCCTCTGATCTGCAAAGAAGGAGAAAGCGTGCAGGTAAAATCACACGCACGTCAAATCGCGCATCCGTGACTGCAGCTAGGCCACCCTGTCTTGAGCAGGAGTCTTTGCTTCACTCCTTGAGCAGCCTGTGTAGCTTTTGAGACGCTGGCTGTGGAGGAGCAGCTCGCCTGGAGGTAGCAGAGTGACTCAGGAAGCCAAGCGGGTCTCACAGGAAAGAGGTCAAGCCTAACAGTGCTTTTGGACAGAATCTGTGACTTTTCCCCAAAGCAGCATGTGACAGGAAGGGAAGGCACGGCGTGCCCATGGCCAGCTGGGCTTCAGAGGACCTTCCCCCAGGCCTCATTTCACCGGGTTGCATTTGTCTTTTTCAAAGGAAAATCACCCTAAATAGAAGTGAGAGGAAGGAGTACTTAGGGAGCTATTAACTCTCATTACCAAACCTTCTAATTTGTTTCAGATGCTTTCAGTTCCTTTTAACATTGTGGCTGGTTATTTTGGGTGCCTGTGCTCACAGTAATTCTGGGGGCGGGAGGGTGCTTGTGGCCTTCATAATAGATGCAGCATTTTGCTGCCTTCACTTTTCAGAGGTAAGCCTCGTCAGTGTTTCAATGGTCTTAGAGGCAGAGTAAAAGAATACTTCATCCAGTTTAAAAAAAAAAAAAACCTCTAAGCTATATTACCACAGTCATGAATTTCAGAACGACTGGAGAAAGTGATTTTTGTGGATTGATGTCTCACTTCAGGGTGACATGCCTTGAGCCCTGAACGTGCTGGATGATTGGCAGCATGTCAGAGAAAGTGAGGCCTGTTTAGAGAAGCTGTGCTGAGCCCTCCCTCCAGCTTGTTGCCACCACCCCTCCAGGCTCCTGCCTCCGTGGGTGGAGGTGGGGTGGGGGTGGCCTCATGAGGGCCACAGACATGGAGTCTGTTCCTGTGGCCTTCCCAGCACCTGGGAGTGACCACACTCAGTAGAGAGAAGGACATTGTCCCACCTGCTGGTGAAGCAAAATAGCAGATTCTGAATCGCATTGAGATGGTCCTGTAGCTACATGAAATCCTGCAGACAATCCCCTTGGCTCTTGTCAGACCTGCTTTAGGCTGGGGGTGAGAAGTGTGTCGCTGCCAGCTGCCACTGCCTTCCTTGTTTTAGGGCTCCCATGTGACCAGATGGCCGGGCTTCTACATCCTGCAGTGGAAATTCCACAGCATGCCTGCATGCGCCGCCAGCAGCCTGCCCCGGGTAGACGACGTGCTCGCGTCCCTGCAGGTCTCTTCGCACAAGTGCAAAGTGATGTACTACACCGAGGTGATCGGCTCTGAGGATTTCAGGTACGGCCGCCCTTGCCTTGCCACAGCAGGTGCCACCAGAGAACTGGGCGGGGCAGAGGTAGGCTTCAGTCCCATGCCGTGTGCAGGATCGGCACGCAGGTGCTGCTGGAGAGCTGGGCGGGGTCGGGGGGGTGTTGTTCAGTCCCGTGCCATGTGCAGGATACGCAGTGTCGGCGGATGTCAGGGATGCTGGGGGTGGGGGCAGAGAGAGTGGCTCTGGGGTCATTTGTTTGCGTGTCTGCAGAGGGAAGAGTGTCAAGGACGAGCAACTTTACCTTTGCTTTAGCTCATGATGCCATCTGCGTGTAGGCTGTGGGAAGCTGGTTCCTGGTGGTTATTCATGTCCACCCCCTGTTTGCAAGTACTGATGGGGATAAGAAGTGAGCAGAGAGCAGGGTGGGCCATGAAGTCCAGCAGGCAGTGTGGGCGGAGGGTGGCAGGCAGGGTAGTCCTCATGTCGCCCTTCCCTGTGCTGTTACAGAGGTTCAATGACCAGCCTGGAGTCCAGCCACAGTGGCTTCTCGCAGCTGAGTGCTGCCACCACCTCCTCCAGCCAGTCCCACTCCAGCTCCATGATCTCCAGGTAGTGCCGCGCCGCCTGCGCCTAGCGTGCAGAGGGGATGGCCACCCCTCCTCCAACAGCCAGCTGCGCCGCCCACCCACCCAGCGCGACATTGTACAGACTCCTCTCACCTCTAGATAGCAAATAGCTCTCCGGATGGTAAATGTAGTCATTTGATCCCAGAACTCTCTTGGCAGATAGTTTTAACTCTGATCCTAACTTAACTCAATAGCCATAGATTTTGTATACGTTGTGCACAAAATCCAACCAGAGCATAAGGGCTCTCTTGAAAGAACAGTAGCTTCTATACCAGTTAAGAGATTGATGCGGTCCCAGATGTTGATGCAAAAAATTTTTCCAATGAACTCTGCATTGTCTGTTAGTGAATGAATTCCTGTGACATCCTCGAGAGATGGCCCCTCCTCACCTGGGACAGAAGCTGCCAGCACGTTTCCCCCAAGCTGCATCGTGGCCTCCTGTCACAGTCGAGATGGTCTGTGGACTTAGGGACGGCCCATGAGGTCCTTCTTCCTCTGAGGATTCAGAGGCCGCCTGCGGAGCACCCTGTCCCGTGGGCAGACCCCCCCACTCCACATGCTGTCCTGAAGTGGGGCTGGGGGCTCAGGAGGGGCTCTCGGGAACTCCGGGTGACTCCAGGAAAATGCTGCCATCATTCAACGTTACTTCCTCTCTCCTCCTTTTCAAATCTTTTTAATACTTTTTAGAGCTGGATTTTTCTGTGTGTGAACTTGGGTGGGGGTGGTTCTTGCCCTTTTTCCTTCTGCCTATCGCCCCCTCACCTGCATTCAGCTCAGTGTAGGCATCTCCTCTGTGTCCTCCTGTGGCCACTAGAGGCCGTCTGGGAACCAGCAAGTTGCATTTGCCGTTTGACACCGTCCACAGGGTTTTATTTATAGCTAAGCAGTATCTGTTACATTCACATCAGGGTGGCGTGTAGCCTGTAGGAGCCCTGCTTCTTTGTACAGGGAACGGTGGACTCAAGCGTGTGTGTGCGTGCATGTGCTGTGTGTGTGCATGTGTGCATGACGGTGGGGTGCTGGGGGGACGGGATGTGTAGAAACTTAGTTTGAGTAACACAGGAGTCTACAGAAGCAAATCAGAATCTGGAATTTGTTTGCCTTTTACATTTTCTGTTTAATTCCTGATTTTAAAGCCTGCTGTATCTGGTGCAGGCCCTTATGTTTCAGCTTTTCATGGGAAGAGCAGGTGATTTGAGAATCTGTCTGGAAGCTGCATAGGGGCGGCCTCCATGGTAAAGACATGCAGCGTGTGTCTCTGTGCAGCAGAGGCCGTGTTTTTCATGCCAAACCCCATGTGGCTGTCACCTGTGTGCGTGGTAAGCGTGGAAATCCTGGTGGTGCTGTCTCAGCGCTGCTCTGAGGCATTGGGTGGGTGCTGCGTCACTGGAGGGCTGTATGGAGGCTGTGTGTGCCCTGTAAGGGTATCAGGAGGGCTGGAGAGGGACCCAGCAGCCCTCTCGCCTGGTCAGGTCAGCCCCAGTGGCTGCTTGCGTACTGTAGATGTCCTGACATGCACGCTGTAGATATCCTGGGCCTCCATGGTGGTCACCTGCCTTTCGTCCACATTTGTGTATTTGTTTTTAGAGATCCAGCTCCTCAGTTGTACCGAAGCCTTGCTCCCAGAAAGTGGGGTAGGGCTAGTAGCGCATCTGTGCTGCCCCCATTTGGTGCCTCCTGTTCCCAGATCACAAGGACCTGAAGATGGTCCCTGCTTTCTCTTTCTTTCTCTCTTTCTCTGTGTCTCAGATGGCGATTTTGCTGACAGCTGCCAAGAAAATGCTTCATTCAACAGTCCTCATGTGCCCAGAGATGTTTATAGAACTGTTTGAATTGCAGCCATCCCCTGCCCCTCCCAGGCTGAAGATCTGTTCTTTTTAAGTTGATTCGGGAGTGGCACTCTTTCATCCCCAGAGAATTGAGTGCATCTTTAAGAGCCCCAAGCACATGACTGCACAAATGCTCCCAGGGTCCAGGTTCTCCTGAGCAATCCGGTCTTGCTCTCCCTGTAAGGGAGTCTGGGGCAGCTGTGGTTCGAGTATGCCGTTTGCATTCCGTCTCTACCTTTAGTACCTCGCCACTCTTTTAAAATGCTGCCGTCATTTCCCCTTTCTTAGTACTAATGATTCTTTGATTTTCCCTCTATTACTAGTGTCTTTATTCACTTCCTTCCTAAATCTGTGATTTGCATATCAAATTCTGTAAATGTTTTGTAAACATATTACCTCACTCTTGGTAATACAGTACCGATAGTCTTTAAAAGATTTTTTTATTGTTATCAATAATAAATGTGAACTGTTTAAAGAAAAGCATGGCTTTTTCTTATCGTGAACCAACAGTTTTCCTTGAACAGTTTGAACTTCTTGGGAGAATTTAGAGATTGAAGAAAGAAGAGAGCTTCTGAAGCCAGAGTACTGATACTCTAGAGTCGAAGGAAAGCTTTTCGCTTGCGTGGGATTGTTTCACAGGTGAGTGGACCGTCCTCAGATAGGCCACAGCTGTATGTTTGCTGACGCAGAAGCAAACCTGGTTTTTGTAATGGTTTTTCTTAAATGCAGCCAGATCACACATCACCGTGATGGTGCGATCCCTGCTGTGATGTTTCTTTCTAAGTAAAAAGGATTGCTTTAATCAGGTGCCTCCAAAAAAATAAAATAGGTGTGGATCTTTGGAGGTCTGAGTTACCTTATCTCCACTGCCCTGCCAGTCACTGGGCCTTTAGGGATTGTAGCCCAGTGGGCAGAGCAGGCTGCTGGCTCGCCAAAGCACAGGGCAGGCTGGAAAGCAGCTCAGGGCAGCTCGGTGCAGAAGCCAGTGCCCCACTCTGTGGGGTCATTGGATTATAGGCATGAGCCACCATGCCTGGCCAATGTGATTATTCTCAAATACATCATGTTTCCTTTAATACCCCATCTCTTTTTAAAAAAAAAAAAAAAAAGATGGGGTTTCACCATATTAGGCTGGTCTTGAACTTCCGACCTCAGGTGATACTCCCCCAAAGTGCTGGGGTTACAGGCACTAGCCCCCTCCCCCGGCAATTCCCCAAAAACACCCAAAAAAACACGTTTAAAAACTAAGTTTATTTTTTGAGACCTAGTCTTACTCTATTCTGGTGCGATCTCTGCTCATGGCAGCTCAAGGCAGCTTGGTGCAGAAGCCAGTGCCCCAGGCACTGTGGGGTCATTGGATTATAGGCATGAGCCACCATGTCTGGCCAATGTGATTATTCTCAAATACATCATGCTTCCTTTAATACCCCATCTCTTTTTTTTTTTAAAAAAAAGATGGGGTTTCACCTTATTAGGCTGGTCTTGAACTTCTGATCTCAGGTGATATGCCCCCAAAGTGCTGGGGTTACAGGCGCCATCCCCCACACCCGGCAATTCCCCATCTCTGTAGAACTTTGGCAGAGCCCAAACCGTAGGTTGTCTTCCGGTTCCGGAGTTGTGGTGGAGGCATTCTTACTAATGTCATCATGAAACAAACCAGTTGAATCAGTTTTGCTGGAAAAGTTGGGGCTTTGGAAAGCCAGTGTTGCTGGGAAGATGGCAGTAAGTACAACTAGCCTGCAAAACCTAAAACCCGTGGACAGCTGGACCGACTTTCAGATGGTTCAAATGGCAGTGCTGGTTACGTGTTTTTTAGCACAACAATAAGAAAAACCTGTGGACATCATTGACAGCAAAACTAGGTGATAAAGTAGCCCCATAACCCCCAAACTAAAGGCATGTTGGGGTAAACCACCAATAGTCGCAAGACCTACCTGACCCATAGGTTATCCGTGCCTGGGGGAGAAAGCAGAGGTTCCACGCAAGACTTCTGATTGATGGGAGAGCAGGAGAAGCCATGAGGCCCCATGAGCCAGTGGGGGGCACAGCAGCCAGTGTGCGCTCAGCAGGTGACACAGGCCAGCTGGGGTGCACCTGGAGGCTGGGGTACAGAGGCCACATTGGGGACAGGATTGGATTGAGGGGAGCAGACCAGGCCCTCTGGACTCTCTGGACTGACCTGCCAGGGCTCACTTCTGGAAGGAACCGCTCGCTGAGGAAGTAAAGCACATTCCACTGCTTGAAGTGGAAGAAAGTCAAGCAGGATGGAGGCTGGGTCCACACTGCGCCTGGGAAGGTTATGGGCAGGGCAGCCATGAAAGCAAACGGACACGATGTTTTAACCATGTCACAAAATAACAGAGAGGGAGCATCGCAACATTACAGCAGCTTTCTTGAAGTATACTTCATTCTGAATGTTTATAATTTTCCATAAAAATGAGCATCGGGAAAAGAGCACAGTCAAATCTGTAGAAGGCTGAGAATAGGGAGCAGAATAATACTCCCACCAACAATGAGAGCAAGCCAGAAAGGGTGCCTGCAAAACAGACCTAAAAAACACATTTAAAAACTACGTTTATTTTTTGAGACCTAGTCTTACTCTATCCTGGCGCGATCTCTGCTCATTGCAACCTCTGCCTCCTGGGTTCAAGCAATTCTCCTGCCTCAACCTCCTGAGTAGCTGGGACTACAGGTGTGCACCACCACGCCCAGCACTAATTTTTGTACTTTCAGTACAGATGGCGTTTCGCCATGTTGATCAGGCTCGTCTTGAACTCCTGGCCTCATGTGATCCACCCACCTCAGCCTCCCAAAGTGCTGAGATGACAGGTGTGAGCCACCGCACCTGCCCATTTTTTATTTTGTTTTAAAAGAAAGCTTGCTGTGTTTCCCAGGCTGCTCTCAAACTTCTGGACTGAAGCAGTCCCCCCACCTCGGCCTCCTGAAGTGCTGAGATTAAAGGTGTGATCCACCACACCCAGCCTAAAAGCAATTTTTTAAATGTACTAAAAACTGTGAAGAACATGATAGGAAACGTGAAAGGCGTAGTCAGAGAAACTCAGAAATGAAGTGACAGGACTCAAGAAAGAATTGGAAATGCAGGAATCTTTTCAGAAATTGAGACCACTTGGAATGCAAAGTGAAAATGAGGATG